AGCACCTTGGTGGTACCCCCCTAAAGCTGTGTGTATCTAGGTGGCCCGTTCAGCTTTCAGCCACCAAGGTGCTGCTATGCAGGTGGTCTGTCCAGCATTAACTGCGGTGACATGGAAGACAAGGAATGTGGGCAATCGAGTCTTCACCATGTCTTATGGATTCTTCCTAGGTTGGCCACATTGTGCTGCATTTGGACATGCCCTTTGATACCCTTTAGAACTGAGAGTGATCAATCTCCCCATACTGTCCTACCTGGTTTAGTCCCTGTCCTTTCCCTCTCAGTCTGGGTGTCCTAAGACGCTGCGTGTATATTTGTGCTGGAAGCTTGATGACCTGCTAGCCTAGGCACCATGAACACATGCCGTTCATACAGCGCTTCCCCTGCCACCTCAAGCCCCGTTCCCACTCATCCTCCATTCAGACCAGTGATCGGTGCATTAATGTTTCTGTTCTCTGCAAATAAGATGCTGCTAGAGCACAACTGGCCAACAGCTGGCTCTGTCCTGGCTGCTTCTAGTCACTGCAGACACTGCAGAGTGCTAATTCGTGAACTTTTGTAATCCTTAATAAAATTAAGGATTAAAAGCCAGCTTTTAACATAGATGTGTTTGTTGCTTTTCTTAGTGTTCCTACCTTCTTGTTCAGTAACAGTCAGATCCTCTTGTGAGGAAGTTTACAAAGAACTCTAATGAGGACCCGCCATTTCTATTAGGGACCTTGACTAAATTCTGCCTTGACTGATGGATTTGAGTATTAGTCTCTTCCTTTTGTTTTCTTTCTCTGATAAAATAGTTTTTAAAGGAGCAGTATTTTTGGATGCAAGGTGGGGGAGTTGCAGATTCTAATGGAAGCACTTCTCTTCTTTTCCCCATGTATGATTTTCCACTGCTGTTATATATCAATGTGACATTGTACAAAATTCTTCTCAGGCATATTCCCATGTCTACATCAAGTTGTATACCATCCACATTTCCTTCTGACACCATATAATCAAAGACCAAGGAGGTGCAACACAGACTGGTCATGGCTTTGCACAGAGAAGTATCATTGCGCATCACAGGTTTGCTTGATTTAGATCCTTTCTAAACACTTCTTGTCTATCTGGACTGTGTGTGTAGTATAATACAGAGGTAGCTGACATAGCATTACTGCAGGTAAACTCTTGTTGAGATCCAAGCAGTGTGGATGTATCAGCAAGCTCAGAGCTAATTCTAAGTTTTACAGGTCTGTGCATTGTACTCCACCATGCAAAACAGAAATGCCCTTTGTTGCCCGTATTGCAGGAGCAATTAAGCTAAAATAATGAATTTGGGAAAAAAAAAATCAAGCCTGAAACTAAGAAAGTCTCTGATAGGGTGGAGTGGGATTTCCATCTGATAGCGTTAAAAATGAATTTGTTCCTCTTTTAAAGCAAATTAATCTTTGTTCATACAGCTAACCCAATAAGGTTATTAAAATCGTGTATGATGTGTCAGTTCTGTAAACTGCAATGAAATGCCAACTTCATGCAGGATCAGCCTTCTCTTAAAATTGAAATAAAATGTCTGCATTTGTGAGATTTTTTTTTTTAATTACCAGGGTACCTCAAACGTTGCTAAGTGGTTCTGCTGCATAAAGGAATGCACTTAGCTTAAAATGTTATCATTCACAAAGGTGAATTAAAATGAGTTTAGTTTTCCCTGCAGCAAGACTGCAGGACGGGAGAGTTTCATAGACCTTCAGTTTGACCTACTGCGGCTGGGTGGCTGCTCTGAGGTTCTCATGACCAGCCTTTCCCCTGCTAGTTTTTTGAACGTTTCAATTAATTTTCAGATATCTCAGAATATTTTTTACTTGTTGAGTACTATATAAACAGCATTAGCAATGAGCTGTGATATGGGACAAATGGCCTGATTTGATGGTCACTGAAGCTGGTGGAAAAGCTAAAGGCTGTGAGCTTTCCAGGAGGTTCAAAGAGAGTTACAGAAGTGTCAAATTACTCTCAGTTGCATTCAATCAATAAGCACTCTACTCCCTCCACCGTGGCCACTCAATTCACTCTACCAGGCAAAATACACTTTCTGAAAATTGTGTGTTTAGCATAATAGTGCACTGCATTGAGTTGCAGTGGGTTGCTGAGATGGCAGACTTATGGTCTAATAGGTGCTAAAAGCTCATCTGCACACCCACAAAGGAGCACAGAGACACAACAGCAGGAGGGGGGAGCCCAAATAATACCCTGCCCCAGCTGCTCCCAGGCCCATCCCAGGAGCCATCAACCCATCAAAGGCCCTTCTGCACCAGCCAAGAGGAGCACAGGGGCGCAAAGGCGGGTGGGAACCCAAATTAAGGACTCAGAGGGACACCCTGACGGGGTCCTTCCCAGGGCTGTCCCAGAGGAGCCTCAGCCCCAGTGTCCAGACATGAAACCCACCCAGAAGAGTCAATACCAGTGCACCTTGGGGACTGAGGGGGGTTGCTGCCTGGGGGCATGAGACACATTATGGCCAGGGGTGTCTCTAAGGGCGATGCTATAGGGAGTGGGCTGCTGAGGACCAGGGGAGTCCCAGCCAGCTGTATGTGTGTGTGTGATGGTCTGTACCAGCAACTGGAGTAGAGCTGTGGCTTTGCGGGCTCATATGTCCAGGTGCCAGCAACTGGGGAGATTGGGATCTAGGGGCAGCTACTGGGCAGGCTGAGTGTCTGAGCCCAGCTGCTGGAGGGATCCAGCTTGTACAGATGTGTATATATCTATATATTCTCACTAGTGGACCTCCATCCTGTTCAGCCAGAGAGGTGAGAAGGATGAGGCCATTGCTGCTGTCTGTGTGAGTGCTCTGTATGTCTGTCTTTGTTATCTGTGTTGCCAGCTGTGTATGTATGTATATATATGGTGTATACATGTGCTCTGTGTGTGTGTGCCTACCAGGTACAAACGCTCAGACTTGACGCTGGTGGGGCCTGGGACACGGAGCTGCCCCAGCCTTACATCTCTTGGACTGCCAGACCCAGCACAATATGTTTTCCACTGGCAAGATGCTTTCTCCTTTATTTGTAGTGTTGTCGAAAGTAGAGTAAGCCTGGGAGAAGAGTAGAAAGATATGTGGTATTTAGTGTTGTAATTTCTCATTTCCTTCCTTTTGTGGGTTGAACTTGTAATGTATGCAACAGGCATAAACCTACTGCACAGCAAGCTTGTTGGTGTATTCATTTCCTAGAATTTGAAATCCGACGGTTGAGATGGGGCTTGGGGTGGGGTGGGCAGTTTGAGGAGCAACAGGTAACAAAAAAAGTTGTATATAAACCTTTATGTATATATATAAACTATAGGCTAGCACCTACCTATAAAATGTTCACTAATGCACAAAGTTTATGCATCAAAAGCTTGTGGAACAGTGAGTTTCAGATATGAATGGTAGCGATTAAAAAACACCTTTAAGTCTAACTATGACATAGACACAATATATTTTAACTATATAGACAAACATGAAAGGTCGATGTCCTTCAAAAAAGCAGCCCAAGCTCAGAATTACCTGCTTCTTATTGAGAAGAATATGAAAAGAAACCAAAAATACTTCCAATAACTGTGCTGTAAATCAATGTATGTACAGAAATTCTTCAGTAGGTGACCTAGTTTTAAAGACCATTGGGAATTTATGTCCATTGGCTGTAGAGAGACAGGGTGGCCTGGGAAATCCTACTGTGATGAAGCCCATGCATCCATGGAAATAGCGTTGGACTAAATTTCCTCATTGGCATAATTCCACTAAATTAAAAGAAGTGATGTGAAGAATGAACACGGCCCTGTGTTTTCACGTTTGAGCAAAAGGACGTTAAAATGTTCTTTTTAGTTTAGCTCCCAAACAGAAGCTCTTTCGTAACATCCTAATTGCTTAGTTCCTATTTTTGTTTCCTTTTCTGTGAGGTGAGAATTTTACATTCCTTTGTTATCAGTGGAAGTATTTTTCCTTCTCCAGGGAAAAAAAACTATCATTAAATCAAATCAATCATATTTTACTAGATTTATGCTTTCTTTTTGTCAGTGATACATAGATACCTCAGGAGAGATACCTACTAGTATATTTTATCTATTTGTCTGGAGATGAAGTTTTGCTCCCTAAGGTTGTATAATTCTTCAGTGTCAAGCAGCTGATTTATATTACTTTTGTGTGTAATAGTTCTACAGCCAAATCATTTTGATTGCCAGGACCTCTTATTCAGGCTCCATTTCTCTTACGTGGATTTGACTTTATTTTTATATACTTTAAGGTATGATGAATTGATACCTTACACAGTATGAAACATCTAGAGTGGAACAATGAATATGTTTACAAATGGCTTTATTCCTTTCTCCTTTCAAAGGAATTTATCTTAACATTGCATGATATATATTTGCAATACTGTTTTTGACTGTGAAACTTAAAACAGCTCTGAACTCTCACCAAATGCATCTCCTGTATAATAGTGCTTTTGCAAAATGTCTTGTTACTATACACGGATTTTTTGGCAGCTGGATCGTTTTCCTACATCAAAGCCCGTCAGGCTCACAAGTATTTCCACAAATGGAGTGATCTGGATACACCACTTTGAAGTTTTCTGAGTGAGGTAGAAAAGTAAAGCTGAAACAAAAATCTGTGTCGCTTTTCTTTACGAGAAAAGGTCCTGTCTTTGTCCTCCGTATCATAATAGGAGCGAAACATTATTTATAGTGTATCTTCTCTTTTGCAACAGCCTGCAAGAGCGTTCACTGGGCTAATCTTAATCTTCGGTTTGCTCTTCAAAAGGAATGCTTCTGCTGTGAGGCTACTTTCCAGGAAGCATGAGCTCATTCTGCCTCTGTGCCGCTGATTGCACGGGCTGTTTTCAAAAGGAAACGGGGGACTTGGTAGACCTGCCTTTCCGAAGACCCGGGGCTGGTCTCTTCCAGGAAGCTGCGGAAGGAGCACCCTCCAACTTAACATCTCAGAGGCTCTCCTGCTGCTGATGAGAAACTTTTTTGCATACATGTGTTAACAGTGAAATGGATTTTCCAGGTTTGGAAGTTTTTACACATATTTATCTCAATATATTTGTCAGCTGAGGAATAACTAAGCTTTGGATTCATTTCTATACTGCTCTTCAGGAAGTTTTGTATTTTTGTGAATGTTGTTATCATTACCTGTAGGGAGAAAAGACTAGACTGCTCTTCACAAATGACTGAAATGTGTGAACAAATAAAACTATCTTTGTAGACACTTGTGTTTGGTAGGTACAATAGAATAAAACATTTCCTGGGCTTCAGCTATTTTAATAGTTAGCACTATATTTTGGTACATACTAATGTAAATATTTAGAATGTAAACATGGACAGGGGATTGCTGGCTACCAATTGAGGGCATCATTGGCTTTAAAGATTAATTTGATTTTTGGAGGGAAAGGTAATTAAAACTGACTGTTTTGGACAGTGATTTTTTCGACATGGGCTTTTGAGTGTTTTGAAATTCAATGGGGGTTGTTGCCTTAAGCTTTTATTTGAATTCTTGACATAAAATGTTGCCGCCTTCACCTCAGATTCACTTTTAGTGAGATTTCTTAAAGCTGCTGGCCTTTTCTCATGTTATAGTTTAAAGGTTCTGTATTGATGCTCATTTTGTGGATCACACATACAATACTACTGCTTCATTGTACAGTGGTGGTTGAGATGCTTTGTTTTGGCTTGCTTATATTGTTACTATAGCTTCTCGTGCTATTAATAGCCCAGAAATGGAACTGAATATTAAATGAAAGCAGAACACTGTGCAGCATTGTCTACAACATGATGTTTCCATGCTTTCTCCAGCATTGACTGAATTATGATTTTCAGGAACCCTCTTCATTAACACGAGACAAAAATTTTCATGATCAAGGGTAGCAAAAAAATCCATAGGACTGCCTGTTCTATGACTGTTTACAGAAGCTTGATATTATCATTACTTAAAATAGTTTGTCAGCAAATTACAACTGCTTATTAACTGTTCTTCAAAAGAGGGAAAGTCATTGCCTCCTCAGCAATATATTTGCATATGTATATTTCTCACTTTCTGTTATAAGTATGTGTATATACTCTATTTCACCTTAAATTTTACTTCTGCGGAGGGTGGCAGATAAACAGGAGTCCTGCAGAGACATACCTTGCGAATTTATGAGACAATTCAAATCAGTAACGGAAGGACTGTGATTTGTTCTGCCACTTTGATCAGTATGTGTCAACACTTTCTAATGAAAACACTACCCGTATGTAAACTACTATTCTTAAAAGTTATTCTTTTTTAGTGGTTGCTACTTTATATTGTCCTAACTGAGAAAAATTTGCAATACTTCTGCGGAGGGTGGCAGATAAACAGGAGTCCTGCAGAGACATACCTTGCGAATTTATGAGACAATTCAAATCAGTAACGGAAGGACTGTGATTTGTTCTGCCACTTTGATCAGTATGTGTCAACACTTTCTAATGAAAACACTACCCGTATGTAAACTACTATTCTTAAAAGTTATTCTTTTTTAGTGGTTGCTACTTTATATTGTCCTAACTGAGAAAATCACTTGCAATACAACTCTGTTACGGGATTCAGTTGCTGGAAAGTTTCACTCTCAGACTATTAAAGAGTTGTAGTAGGTATAATTGATGCTGAGGTATACTTCTGCATCCCTTTTCAAACAAATTTGCTTTAGAATCAATAACTTTTGTCTGAGTGAGACTGTATTATAACTAATGATATGATATATATTGATGATACTATCTTATCCTAATTTTCAAACAAGACAAAATAAAACATATTTCTGTTTCTTTTAAACTCTTTTACAGATAATCTATATTACCTCTTATCCCAGGGTGTATGAAACAGTCCTTTTCAAGATGTATGGAATATCACATGTTGCGTCGACACCAGGAGCAAGTAAATTTGTGCACGTTCATCAGAGTTTTTGATAAAAAAACCTCTGTGGTGGAGGGGATTTTGTTTGACTGATAAGATTTGGTATTTTGCAGGTTTTAGTTTATATCCATATCTACAAACCACCTGTTGAGTTCTTCTTGTATTTTCTTTTAGACTTTGGATGAATTTCTTATATAATATTTTTTCACTATGAAAAATCATGATTTTGCCTAAAATAAGATAAATTATTTCAGAAGCTAATTGTACAGGAAAAAAATAGGTCTACAACATGTCAGTCTATGATATACACCACTACTCTCACTTTTTGTACAACTTGCCGTGTAGCAATCTGACTTGATCCCTGTACCTCCACCAAGTTTCTTCCACTTGTCTCCTCAAGTTGTTTTTGCCAGGATTAGAGGATAATTTTCTCATGGTAAAGTGAAATGTTGGGGTTTTTGTTTTTCAAAGTGTAGGAGAAACAGTATGTATGGGAGTAGGGTAATAGGACTGATTTCGTAAAAAATACCCTGGAAGGTTTTACTTCCATTCTTCGGTGACCCTGCCTGGTCCCAAGACTCAGTCAGCCTTCACATCCAGGCTGTGACTGACAACTGAGCTCCAAATGAGGATAAACAAGATTACCAAAGTGGAAACACTGACCTTCATGTCTTTTCTTTGCCTCAGCTCATAATTGAACATTAAAAAAAAATTCTCTTAGACCTGTCTCCTCTCATATGTGAATGACGGGCATTTACTAACAGTGTTATAAGCATGATGCTCTAAAGATACAGGAGAAGTAAGGTTATATAGGGAAAGATCATATCTTTTATCGTTCCATGTAATAACAGAGATAAATTCTCCCTATGGATAGCAATTGCTCATATTTCGTAAGACTGATTCTGTCAGATGCTGAGCCTCTGGCAGCAGTTTGCAGACTTGAGCCATGGTGATCCAGACAAATCCTATTTCCTTAGTCTCCTGACACAATATTATTGTCAAATCTTTGTCACTGTTGCTGTCCCTATGGCTGTTGTGCCATGTCTGCAATTTTCATCTGAAAAATACATTGTAATGGTAAAGGTGACCCTTCCATTCTACTCTGTATCTATTGCCAGTACACGTACTATTTTTGGCATGAAGCAGATTCCTGGGAAAACACCATTAAAATTACTGTAGCTATTGCATTTGTGTCCATAATTATTTCTCTCAAGCTTGTAAGCTGTGCAGAGTACAAGTACAGAGTACAAGTATTTGATTATTTGGACGTGAGAAAAAATTTCTTTACTGAAAGAGTGGTTAAACATTGGACCAGGCTGCCCAGGGAAGTGGTTGAGTCCCCATCCCTGGAGGTATTTAAAAGATGTGTAGATGAGGCGCTTAGGGACATGGTTTAGTGGGCATGGTGGTGTTGGGTCGACGGTTGGACTTGATGATCTTAGAGGTCTTTTCCAACCTTAATGATTCTATGATTCTATGGTTGTCTCTGATTCTGTGTTGTCCTGGTTGAGATGAGTTTCCTATAAACACTATGTCTTTCCTCCATTCTTTCATCTGTTTTATCTCCTTTAATGTCTCCCTTAATTTCCGTTTCTTTTTTAGCTTCTTTAATGATCTTTTTGATATACACAAGGTACCTCTCAGTGGAGACCTGTCAACTGTTTGGGCTGTCAGTGGGTAAGATAATGACTCCTTCTTATTTGGCCTTTGCCTCTGCAGGTTCAACAGTATTTGATGGAGAACATAGACGCAGCCTCTCACAACATATTTTTCCAAGGTACTGAGGAAAATTACACTTGTTTAATTTTATTTTTATTTTGTTGGAGATTTTGTAAAATCCCTTTTGGGCCACTTAGAATTGTAGTGCTGATATTAATTTAATTACTGCTTTAAATGGAAGTTCAGAAGTACTGCTATGGAGTTTGGAAGCACTGGCTTTGCAATTACAAGGTTTTGGAGTATCTGTGTTCCGCCTGCTTTCCCCTCCACTGAAATTATGGTATCCCTCTGTGACATGCCATATGGGATAGTTAAACCTGCTACTGAAACCCATGTCAGCCACTGAATCAATCCAGTGTCTTCCTTTCTTTCCATGGATGTCACTGCATGGCCACGTGGAACTCAAAGGTGTTGAGGAGAAAGGACTCACCATAAATCCCATTTTACTTGAGCTAAGTAAAATGTCTACAACATTGAGATTCTTTCACCTCTGTCACTACTCGCTTCTATTTTAAATACTGCATAGTATATTTTCCTGTGCTATATTTCATCTCAAAGTCAATTGTATTTCAGTGCTGGATGTAGTTATCACCATGTGTAGACTTTATCCCACGTTGTCCTAGCTGCATGGTACTCTAGGATTTGTGAGAATTAAAAGTCATGTATCCTTAAATCTTCATTAAGTATGGCTAGGTTATAAAAAGCAAATAAATCCTGCCTGGTTCAGAGGCACTCAGGCTTGTGCCATGCAGAGAAACTCAGGGAAGCAAAATACAGGAATACCACTGATGGCTCCAGGTAGGTGTAGACCTGGCAGGACTCCTTGGCCAAGAGCACTGCCACAGAAATACACCATGCACTTCTCAATTCAAGCTGGCTCCATGCATTCATGAAATGCTCCACCTGGCATGAAGCCCTCCTGTAATCTGAAGCTCTGGAAAGTGTGATGGAGGCACACTCTAGCCAGCTGAAACCCCCTACGTCCAGAAGGAATATCATTATGTCCACATATTTTAAACCTATGTCATTACTAGGGCCCATCAGCTGGTAATGTAAATTCATTATTATTAAATCATGGGTTTGCACTGTCTAGACATTCACTAAATTAGAGGGTTTCATTTCTCCTTTTCAGTTATGCTTGTGCCTTTTTGGATGATGACCCTGCCTATGAGTGTTGTTCCACAAATCGTCTGACAGGCTCCCTTTCCACATGTCGCCGCAGCCCTCGACTGCTTTCTAATGGTTATTATGTTTTGACAGAAGACAGTTTTCTGTCTGATGAAAAGGGTAACATAACACTGACACCATCCCAGACAAGTGTTACATATAAAGAGAATTTAGTTCGGTAAGTGAGTTATATGCAGATTTTACTCCATGTTGGCAATTGGCTCCACATTTCTGAACTTATCTGGTGGTATCTGTGTGGCTGTCTACGTTTTGCTTGGCACAAGATCAGCATTGCTTCTTAATGGGAACGTCTAAATTGATTTAGTTTAGAGAGTGCAGTGATTGAAATAACTTGATTTTCAGTCATGTCTCATCTTACTTACCCAAAAACTCTTCAGTACACACTTGTTGCTGTAATTGGAGTTGTGTGCAATAAAGAAAAAGGAGAGCTACAGCTCATTTTGCCAATGGGGTGTTACCATGATGAGCAATAAGAAAAAAGCATATATATATATATATGCGCTCATATATATAAAAAAATAAAAAGGTCTGGACCTGGAATTCTTACTCAGGGAAAAATCTCTCTTGATTTCAGAAGAACATCAGTTTAGGAAGTTATATAAAATGTAGTTCAAAAAAGTTGAAGTACAGTGGATTCAGGCTGCACCAAAGGGGACATGGTAGGGTGAAACTCATGGGTAGCATGAGACCACTCAGAGCAGTATCAGAGCCCAATAACTGTAGTATCATTTGGTATCACAATGTCCAGTATCACAACGCATGATATGTTGCCATGCTGCTCATACATTCCTTGACATTACTGCAGTGTGCAGCAGTCATTCTTGGTGACATACCCAGGGTCAAGAACAGAGCTAGGAACAGCACCCAGAACCTGGTTCTTTCCTGTCAGTCCTGCAAGCTTTAGAGCTCTGTCCCTGCTCAACAAGAATAATTAACTCTATTCCTTGACAATGTGTCTTTTCTTTCTAGTGTATTCAGGCGAAGGAAGAAAATCCGTCGCTCTCTTGCCAGCTTGTTCAATCTCGGTGCCTCCAGTTCATGGCTCAGCAGCACCATCCTCAGCAATATGGATTCCTGCCATGTAGGTGATCCTTGGCCTGATGGCTGCAATAAACTAGAAGCCAGTCAGAGTGATATTGGTAAGCCCTGACCAGGTACCAAGTAATCGAGCTACAACATTACAGTCTGTGTTTAGTGGGACTTGGGTATCTCTTTCTATAGGTTTTGCAGGGGTTGTCTGCCAAGGTGTGCAGGTAAAGGATAGGAGAACAACAGAATTGTAAGTGGTGAACTGAGCTCCTGGCACTAAAACAGAGTATGAGTCCACAAAGACCTTTGTGCCAAAAAGGCATTTTTAGACTGAATTTGAATCCAGAGTCATCACCGGTGATGTTTATGCTGGTGTCATTAATATCTGGCACTGCCTGCTTTCACCTGGCTGTTTTGATAATGTCATTGTGTTACGCTCTATGCAGCTTTGTCTTTACATATTTTCTCCTGCATACATTGAACCTGCCAATTCCCTACCCCTAACAATTTGGAAACCTCCCTGTGATTAAGTAATTAACTTTCCCCCCGACAAGATTCATTAACACAAAGTCTCAAAGCTCTTCTTTTGTGCAATCTCAGTTACATATGCACTTTTTGTAGGTGATTCAGACTTTTCTTCTGAATATAATAGCCGTGTGCCACAAAGGCAAACTCCAGCATCTAATGGAGCCTCTCTCACCAAAGATGACGAGTTTCTTCAGCCTGAGAGACCATTTTGTGCTTCAAAATCCTGCTCTCCATTTATGATAAATGCAAATGAAGAGACTTTGAGCAATGCAGGTATGTTACATTCTTATTCTGCTCTGCCTCATTTTTAGAGTGAACCGAAAACACTCACATTAAAAATATTGATATGGCCCCTTGAAAAAATAGAATTTATTTCCCGAAACATACATTTTAAATAACTGATTAAAAATAACAAAATCTTAAAATTGATATTTACTTGTTTTCTCCTCCCCGCTCACGTCTTTTCCTCTCCTATTTTCAGTGATAAATGGAAAAAGAAAAAGGTGGAGTGAAGAGGAAAATGGAGGAAAGGGCATGGGAACAAAAACTGAAACAGGCAATTATTCAGAAAAGCTTGTTTTCTGGGAGCGTGGAGGGCACAGTGTCTCTATGGTCATGGGGGAAAAAGACTCCTGAGAGACACCCAGAGCATGAAAATTAGGTTTCCGCTTTGAATCACTCTAGGCAAATTCTCTTAGAAAGAAACTGAAGAGTCTGGCCTCACAGGCTGAAGGTAGTCTTTGCAAACACCTCCTGTCATATATTTACTTTCCTGAAAACTCATGAAAATTATTCTTCTGATTTTTGTTTTAGAATCCAGGACAGTGCGAAATGTCCTTTCTCAGATGGTTGCACTGATCACGTGTTTAATCATTTCAATATGTACAAGGTAATTTTTATTTCTTTTATTTGTTGTTTCTGATACTAATGCTTACTCCATTTCAACTGGTGAATAAAACATAAATTAAGGATCACATTTTCAAAGTTAGATATATCTTACTATGAAAATATATTTTCACATGATAGTCGATGCAGGCAATTATCTGAGCTATATAGATATGCACAAAAATAAGAAATACATATGCAGATATGAAAACTACTTTGTCAAGTGTGCTTGGACATAGCTTTTGAAAGGCTGAGAAGAATCAGAATGGATCCATGTCTTTCTAAGTGACTAGTATGGGTGTTTCTCAGTCTGGGAATCATGAGGTCTCACTTTCTAGGAGATAATCCTCAATAGCTTAAGTAATTTAAAGTTTCAAATTGCAGTGCACCTACCAGAGTTCAGAGGGTTCATCTGCAAAAACCTTCTCTTCTCGTCCCACCCATGCTTTGCCTCTGTTAACCCAATACGCATCCCTTGTTTTTTTAACCTTTATGGGTATTGTTATGTTCTCAGATATTTTCTGGGAGGATGGTCTGCCGCTTTGTTGCTGATAATTTTAGTTTGTAAGTACAAACTTACTTTATATTCAACACACAAGATTTTACTAAGTCACATCTGAGGACCAAAATCCATCCTTGGATGTATATCCACGGCTCTTATTGATGCTAATAGGAGCAATATGTGGGCATATGGGGACAGAATGTAACCTTCAATCAGTTACAGGATTTTGCATTTCAATTTCACAGTTCTTTTGTCCCAGGATGCTGCTGTGTCATCTTTCTTCAGTCTTGACACACCTTTCAAAACAACTAAGTTTTGGTAAGTGGCTCCAGTGTCATGTGATGAATAGAGGAATTTAGAAATCTTGTATTAAGAAGAAGAAGGAGAGATTCCTTCTGTTGTTTTCATGTCAAAAGATAGAAGGCATGATCTGAAGTTATTGATGGAGGATTCGGCTTTTCCTGTTACTGATTTGTATTCATAGAAACTTTCTGTTTATTTTGAAAAACTGCTTTTTCATAATGTGCACTAAATGTTGTAACACCCATTTGTTAGCAGAAGAGGAAGGTAAACCTAATATGCCATAACATGAAGATGCAGAGACAGACCAAGGGTAGTAACTTACTATGAATCCAGAGGTGTACTTTCAAGCCTTGCACTGAAGTCCACTCCCAGGCCACCAAACCAAGCCTTTTTTTTTGACTGGAAAAAATAAAAGCAGCTAACTATGGTGCTAGTCCCATCACCACCTTCCAGGGACTGCAGAATTGGTATGACTTGGCCCCACTAACCCAATGCACCATTAGATTCAGGACAGAGCTTTGCCTTTGGCTTATACGGTAGTCTGATAAACGTCTTAGAAGTATTAAATCAGTCTGATCAATTGAATAAAGGTGCTGATGTTGCTGTTTCAGACTGCTTTATTTCAAAGTTTTGCACAGAGCTGTAGCTTCTAAATCCTTCTGGAGAAAAAGACTGACATATTTAGAAGGTCTGAATTATATCTTTAGAGCAAGCTCATACCTAGGCCTCCATGCTGCAAGCATGTTTGTATGTGCTGGATTTATCAATTACCATTCTTTCACTTTTTATGCAGCAGAAAAGTCTTCTGAGTGTGAGGGCAAGACAATCTGGCAGACCTCTTAGCCTTTGAATTGAGTATATGGGAAGTTAGAAACAAGAAGGCACAACTTGGAGAGCCATATTGCAATGATAGTCTCATGTTTTGAGCATCCAAGGGTCTTAGCACAATACCTCAGATACTCAAGGATGGTCTGTTACACTTTGTCACTCTGTCATTATTCCCAATAAAAATCAAAGCCACCAGGTTAGGACTAGAGCGTTCCAAACGCATGCTCCAAAGCACTGCTTTCTGACTTCCTGAATAGTTTAGCCCTGAGTCATAAACAAAGCTGTTCTTCACAAGAGGAAAAACTCTGAGCTCTGAGAGCTTTTCAGTCACTGGTGTACAGAGAATACCTGCTCATCACATTAGCACAATACCTCAGATACTCAAGGATGGTCTGTTACACTTTGTCACTCTGTCATTATTCCCAATAAAATCAAGGCCACCAGGTTAGGACTAGAGCGTTCCAAACGCATGCTCCAAAGCACTGCTTTCTGACTTCCTGAATAGTTTAGCCCTGAGTCATAAACAAAGCTGTTCTTCACAAGAGGAAAACAAATAGACTCTGAGAGCTTTTCAGTCACTGGTGTACAGAGAATACCTCTTTTGTGCTCATCACAAGTGAGAAGTTACCTGCTCAAACAAGCAGTCCTACAGCTTAACTAAATTTGGCAATTCAGAACCTACATAAATACTCATTATAACAAACCGTGGTTTAAATCAAGACATACAAAAATGTATGCTTTATTTTTTTCCCCCCAGGAAATAATTGGAAAGAAAGAATAATTGGTAAGTATATATTTAAATTTAGAAAGAATTCCATGCTTTTTGGGGTGAGCCCTATTATGAAAGGGGGTTCAAGCATGCCAGAAAGGTTCCCTGGACTTTTCATTAAAAGAAGGTTTAGCTGCGGGACCTTTGCCAGTTTCCACTGTGAATTACTCCACTTTGCTGTCTAAAACTCCTTTTTCATTTTATTTGGATGAACTATTTTTTTATTGTTTGACAACAGTTGCTAAATAGTGTAAGCTGTTAAACAAATGCTGTGCTTCAGCCCAGAGAAAACATGTTTTTCAGTAACGGGCAAAGCAAGTCTTCCTTTTTACAAGTTTGAACGGAACAGCGGGGCCAGGTGCTGTACTGCTCTAACTTGGTACCATTCCACTGAAGGAGTGAAGCAGCATCAACATTTATCAGTCCAGAATATCTGGAAAACACTTGCAGATTCTTCTTTTCCCTATTCTTCTTCGGTTAAGCCTCATCCTCAGTCTCCAGTTTCTGTTTATCAAGCATTTCTAAGTCTTGGTGCAGCTCAGAACCCTTAAAACAAGAGCATTGATTTATTTGTACTTGGAGCTGGCCATCCCAGTCCTGGCTCTGTTATTTCCTTTATCTCTTTACTTTGAAAAGATAAAAATGAAAAGAGGGAACTAAGTGGAGCTGTGCGCGGGTTTGTGTTCCTTATAGCGTGGATAAAACAGCCTTGTTCATCAGTTCGCTGGTTGAGTGCAGTTCAGCTTCTGAGATCTAAAGGCATCTGCACAGCTGCAGACGCAACCTGGAAAACCTTTCGGTCAGCCCTCAGAAAGAGGAGTTCATCCTGAGAACAAAGCATTTTAGAACGGTATGCAGGCATTTGATCACTTTGCAGACTTACTAAAGCCTATGATGAAAAATACATCCTACTCATCCAGCGTGCCAAGCAGTGGACGCTAGGTCTGGCACTTCTTAAAGTCAGTGGAACTGTTTATGTAAGGGCTGCAACACCAGAGCTTTAAAGCTGACTCTGATTTTGAAAGCCAGTATCAATATTAACCAAAGCAGGTACTACAGGATGGAGTGGAGAACTTGGGACTCATTGCCTAGCAGGAGTAAACTAAATACAGACTGGCACAGGTTACTGCGAGACAGGACCTCCAGCATTTCAAAACAAGCTTGTCTCTTGCCTTTCATAAAAACTTAAAGGCAGAGTAGTTACTTCTGTATATTTCAAAAGGAGTTCACTAACAGTTTTCATTTTTCCTCCTCCTCAAATTTATTTTCCTCAGCTCTTCAGCATCAAACTACTGGATACCTCCTTATGGCTACTGTTACACATGTTACCGTGGAAAAAAAATAACAGAATTGTTAGTATTCTTCCTTCAAAATACAATTCACTTTACCTTTATTTTTGTTCTGGTCAAACTGTGGGTGAGGCCGTACTTCTTGGTGACTATCTGAAAGCAGTCATGCAAAATGATTGCTGTACCTCTAGTCTCTTACGTCAATGAAGTCCTACAAGCATGGGGTCCTTACAAGCATTTTGATAAGGAATTGATGGTAAATAGTGTTTTGCAATTCCCATTCAGGTTTTGGTAAACAGCTGATGTCTTCCAATACTTTATATATTAATTTCTTGTAGCAACATGCTGTCAAAGATAATGGATTTGGATAGTGGCTGAGTACCTGCGGTAATATATTTCAGAAGCTTTATTGTATCATTTGTGTGCACTGCCTTGTGGCCTTTATGCTGCACATTAAGAAAAGAGAAAAAGAAGGAAGAAAGAAATATTATTGGAAGGAAAGCACTCTTCAAAAAGCCAGGAATCAGGATGTGGAGAAGCAATGATGAATCTGAATTACCTGGATTCACGTACAAAAATACGAGACCTGCAGGTATTAACTTTACTTTGGAAACACTGAGCCCTGTTTTTCAGTTTGGATCTTTGCTACAACAGAGACTAAATTACACATAGAGCCTGCGGGTAACAAAAACTGTTATCTTGTGACTCCAAGCTTTTAATAATCTGCTTCTTAAAATATCTCCCTGTATGCTAGTTTAGCTAGGACAGCATGGATTTCATCTTCCCGTGCAACAAAATGATGGCAATGAGTGAGGATGCTATTGCCCACCAAATCATTCTATAACTAGTGCTGCTTCTAGTCTACTTCTCCCCTGCTGTGGTAAAAGCAATGCTAGCACAGCCCAGCTGGTAAATCAGACATGAAATGCTGCCTGTGGAAGGGCTAGGTCTGCCCATGGGGTACAATCAGGCTGGCAGGCATAATGACAGGGATTTGAAAACTCTGCAGCAGAAGCACACGAACGGAAGGTTCTAGTGGAAGAAAGAAGCGACAAAACTCAACCACCACTGTCTGTCCAACTCTGTCTAAGCCAAGCTCAAGCAGGTTATAGCTGTATTTCTAGCATCAAAAATCCAAACAAGTGATGCAATGAGGAAAAGGGTAGTTGAAATTAAGTTAAAATGTACATTTCTCTTTCAAAGTGTAAATATATGCCGGTTATATTTTGAAGATAAGCATCAATAGCTCAGCGTTAAGAGTTCAGAGGGAAATTTCACCCAAATTACCAATTTTGCATAGTAATTTACTTTTGCCCAGTGCATTAAATTGACTTTATATGAAGACAGACCATCTGATGTAACAAGACCAGGTTTTATAGTTTCAATAAATGGTGACAATAGAATGTTCTTTTTCATAAAACTGATGTATTACGTAACTATAATAGTAGTTATAATACTCATCCTCATATTTACTTGTAGTTAATACACTTGAATAATTTTGTCAGTATTAAATAATTCTGCTTCTTTATTTACTTTAACTATGGAGACAACTGAGAGTAAATATCATTGTGTAATATGTCTAAATATTTTGTGTTACCTATTTTATTGCTAGTTATAACAGGTCCTTTACTAAATGCACTTTTTAAACTAAAGGATTATAAAAATCTTCAGTGTTTAAATAATCTCCTGGAAGTATAATCTGGAAGATGAAATGCTATACTGAGAGAAAAGTCTAAGACTGCAATTACCCTGCAGCCATCAAAGCGATTATGCTGAAAACTAGAAAAAACTGAGTTCACTGTAAACTAGTTAGTTCACTGTAAAGTGAAGAAAAAGCTGATTCAGTTTGCCAAGAATTTTGTCTAAAATGAATTGCTTTAATCTGTCTATGAATAAATACAAACTGTAAATTAGAATTTTTCTGATCTGGGGAGGGGGAAGTTCTGGGACAATTTGGCAATTGGAGTTCGAGGGCTAAAAATTAGATGCTTGGGATCTGTTAAGTTCTGCCCTCTGTGATATTCATTAATGTTGAATTAACAAAGTTCTATTCAGTTACCAGACTGGCTGGCTTTGGCAGTTGCCTTCCATATATTCCAACTGAAATAAAAGCAAGCCTTGTATTGTTTCTCT